AGCATTCAATAACTTCTTGACTATTAACCTTTTAGAACGTTCGATATATAAATAATAGTTCGTTTTTTTTTGTTTTAACTTAAACTAATGACTTGATCTTATAAGGAAAAACAAAATGTCAAGTAGTTATTTAGTAAAAAAAAAAAAATAAAAATAAAGATTCACTTTGCTTATATACCTTTCAAAATAAATTTTTCAGACAAATATCAAAAACATTTTTGATTTTTGTTTATTACGGAACATAAGAATAAAATTTCACATATTCTAGCTAATATCACAAATCAAATTTTAACGAATATTTTTTAGATTTTAATACTGATATAATAATAATTCATTATTTTTATCACACATTTCTAAGACGAAACAAAAAAAAAAATATACAGATACAAATAGAAAAATGATACAATAATCCACGTAAATATAAGTATATATTCATATGACAGAAAAAAAAGCACAAGAGAAGAAAATCTTAGCACCGGTGTTAATATGACGGAAAGGAAAAAAAAACAAATGATATTTTTCTTTTTTAATTTATTGTAGGTAATTCAATACGAATAAAATTATCTTTAAGAAATATGACACGTAAATGCGTATAATCATATGTATGATCTCTTGGTAGACGACAAAAACGTGATGTTGAACGTATTATTATTTTATTTTGTTGTTGTTGTTCATATTGTGGTAATAAATTTCTCTCTTGTTGTTCAATAAAAATTTTTAATAAATTTAATTCTGGATCAGATTGTATACGTATAGAATCCATTAAAGTTTCAAATGGTAAACGAAGATGATATATAAGAAGAGGTGGAATATCATTTGTAAATGTATATTGTCCATCCCATATAGTTGGTTTAGGCATTGTATTTAATGTGTTAAAACGATTGATTATATCACTTACACTTTTTGTATCTGTACATTGTTGTGATGATGATGATGATGGTGGTTCACCAATATGTACCACAGTTCGATTATTATTTAATGTTTCAATTCTGTTTATATGATTATTATTATTATTATTATTATTATTATACATTATTCGTTGATTGTTAGATATGAGTGACGGTGACATCTTCTCTTGTTGCAGGTCTATTGAAAAGAAAAGGCAAGAAAATAATCTAAATAGAATTTCATGAGAGAGGAAAAAAAATATCAAAGAAAGATAAATAGCACACCATGCTGGGTAAAAAAACATCATATACAAACGAACCGTGCTAAAAATAAAAAAAGAAATTGCTTCTAGGGCGATAATGCCCTACTGAACCAATCAACCACTGCTTTGAGCTGACTTAGAAGTGCTGAAAGAAAAACACTTAAGAGTTAATAAACACTCATATAAACATACACACACAGAGAATTAAAAATATTTGGTTAGTTTTTTTTTTTTATTATTATTATTGATTAACTACCTGCTTCTTCGTTCATCGCGTCGATGATTTCGACATGTAATGCATTAGAAAATTGATTAGATATAGAACAATGCGTATGTAAAGAAAAAAAAAGGACACCAGTTCAAGAAAGAAATATTTTAAAGACGATGTCCAGTGTATGATTTTTAGTTTATATTAAAATTTATTTATTTTTTTTTTTTTTTTAATTTTCACCATGTTTAGTTTAAAAGCATCCCATTAAGTTTTTTTTTTCTTATTAACCTACCTCCATCATTTCTTGTCGATGCTAAAGTAGAATTTGTTGATGGTACAGAAACCGATGGTGATGGTGATGGTAGAGTTGAGTTTTGTTGAAGAAATGCAGATGAAGAAGATTTTAATTCTTGTTGTTCAATTTTTCTTTTTCGTTTAATTTCTTCCCATGCCCATGGTTGATATTTACCTTCAACAATTAATTGTCCATCTTCAGTTAAATAAGCAACAATTGTTTCATCATCAACAACATCAGGTACTAATAATTCAGTTTTAAATTCATGTTTACGATAATTTCCACGTTTATCTGTTGGTTCTATTGTATGACAATGTATTAAAATTTTTGGTCCTTCTAATTGTACACTTATATCTGATGTATCATATGTTTTACCAATCGGTACACGCATTTCATATAGATTTATATCACTATCATCAGATAATGAATCATTATTTGATGATGAACGTATCAAATTATTTGTTTTTTTCTTTGATTCATCCATAATATTAGTTGTTAATAGTGATGATGGTGTAAATAGTACAGATTGATTAGAAATATTTGACTAAAACAAAAAAAAAAAAGAAATAAATGTTTGACATTTTTATTTCCTTTTTTTAATAAATAGATAAAAAAACCTGTTCTGTTGGAATTTGACGAGTAGTAGTAGTAGTAGGTGAACGTAATTCATCTAATGATTCACATGATGAACTAATTGATGGTTCTCGTCGTCTTTGTACAACAGGTCGAACAACAATACGACGTGATGATTCACGTTTAATAGGTTGTTGTCGACGTAATTTACAAGAATTTCGTATATCATTATGATCATTTGATGATGGAGGAATACCATACATGACGTTATTTCCCAAAGATGGCGGCGTACCGGTAGCCATAAGTGGATGCTGTCAATAAAAGAAACAACAACGTGCAACTATTTTCCTTTTTTTTCTTTTTTCTTTTTCTATATGCGTGTGCTCTTTGAAACGTCAACTTCCCTTGAGTCGTAATCGATGTTTGAAAAGAAAAAAGAAAAAAAAAAAAAAAAAAAAAGAAATTACTTTTCTTTCTTTTACATTCGATGTGTATATTATTTATATATTTATGTATATAAATATATAGTTTGATTATTTAATAAAGCCTTACCTGTAAATTAGTTCGATTTTTAGAATAATAATTTTGTTGTACAGTATCATTTATGATTGATCGTTGATTATATGTAGGTTTTAATAATTGAGATGAAGATGTTGAAAATACTGGTGGTGTATATCTGAGTTGATCAATTGAATGTGATCGTGCATAATTTACAACGGATGGAGATGGTGGTTGTAGTCGATGAGTATATCCATGACCATGTACTTCAAGTGATGGTAGAACAGTAAGATGAGGATTTGTTGATGATATAAGATCAAGTGAACGACTATTTAAACGATTTAAATTCGATGATGTTACACGTGCTTGATTTTGTAATTGTGCTAAATGTTGTTGTTGTTCAATACGACGATATTGACGATCTAAAGCAAAGAGTTCTTCTACCGATAAACCCAATGGCCGTTGAGTTGATGATTGTGAAGAGGTGACCAACATGTTGTACTGTCTAAAGTAAAATTTACTACTCTTCGCCTATTCGAATACTATAAAGAATGAAACAAAACGAAACGAAAGAAGAAAAAAAAAACAGAAAAAAGAGAACAACTTTCATTTTCTTTTGTCTCTCTTTTATTAAACAAACGAATAAAACTCAACCCAACGAAAACGATAGAGAGAAAGAGAGCAAAAACAGAACAAAAGATGAGGTCGAGATGAGAAGAAGAAGAAGAAGAAGAAGAAAAAACGAAGAGAAGAGAAGAAAAAAGCCTAGAGAATCGTCATCTATCCAACTTGAAGAACATGCGCGACTCTATTTGCCATTTCTGTATTCTGTTACTATTCTTTACGCCTTCTAATTACTTCTTAAAAGACGAGAAAGACACTCTTGTAAATTTATGCAATACCACGATTGCAGACTTCTGTATATCTTGCATATAGAGAGAACAGTTGTGGATATATGTATATATACATATGTAAGATGTTGAATTCTTGCATATGTATATGCATTGATATTCATGATATAAACATAAAAATGGCGACAATATAATATTGACAAGACACTGCTGACGCTATCGAGCGTCTAATAATCAAACGATAGAAAAAAAAAAAAAAAAAGAAAAAAGAATAAGAAGAACCAAAGTGATGACAATGATTAACTGTGAATATACAAAAAACATATATCGTTAAAAGAAAAAGCTTATTTCGCGCATCGTCTAAATGTCATTTACATAAGTGATAATAAAACAAAAGGAAAAACTCATCTCTATCTACCTTTGTCTTATGTTGAAAGATTACTGATATTTATAGTTTATCACATGTTATTTTATGTATATATATATATTTACTTATTATTTTGTTCTTCATCTAATATATAAAATATCTTATCATATTTTAAATTTTCTTTGATTTTTCTAATCAAAATTCATATCAATTAAATACGATATGTATATATAATTAACTCTATGTGAATTTCACACTCAACATCGACTAGATAATATAAATAAAAACAAATTCTTGTTTTTTTTTTTTTGTTTTTTTTTCTTCTTCTTCACTTTGACATTACTACGGTTGATCGAATAATGTCTTGAAATGAAACTCAATTAACTCAGTAGGTGGATGTGAACAACATATATCCGAAATAAGATAAAATAAAAATATACCGGCATATCGATCACATGCTGAGTAGATATTTTTATATCTACCCATGTCGAATCTCTCAATATATATATATATATATATAAATATAGAAACAAAATTCATATAATAAGAAAATTTTTTCATTATGTCATTTGCACCATATTTATGTAGTACACCAAAATTTGTACCTGTTATTAATCAACCATCACATTTTATCTTATCAGCTCCAATTCTATTTAAAAATGAAAATCAACGACAACAAATTAAATTAAAAACTCATTCATATTGTCGTCCATTAAAAAAATGTCATCGTTATCATCATTCGAAACAATCCAATGCAAGTACAGCTATCAATCGACAACAACATTTTGATAATGATATTACAATTCATAATAATCAACAACATATTTTCTTCTGTTTACCCTTTAATCTTTTTCATATATCTAAACGAAGACGACATGGTCCATGTCATGTATAAAAAAAAAAGAAGAAGAAGACACAAAACAAGAAAAAAAAAAAAACAATCTACATGTATATAATCTAGACTTCTGTTTTGTTTTTTAGCATAATAATAATAATAAACGAAAGAAAATAACAACAGATAAGAATTTCTCTGACTTAAGTTTTTGTTTTTGTTTTTAACTATTAGCTGTGTCTTGTTCGTTTGATTTATTATGTTCTTCAATAGAATCATCTTCACTTGTCGATTGATTGGTATTTTTATTTTCTTCAACTAACCTAAAATAAATAAACAAACAATTGGTAAAGTAAAAATTTCTTTTTTTTTTTTCTTTTCACTTTCAAGAAATTGTTTATTATGAACAAAAAACAATTCACTTAACAATAGATTCGCTTTTTTTTTTATTATTAACAATGTTTTTTTTTTGTAAAATAGAACGCAATACATATAATCCCATCTTTTCGTATATTTATGTTTAGAAAATTTTTTGTTTTTTTGCGTGTATAATTCAAAATATTGCGTATTATGCTGATTGGGATTTTAAATATTCATTTTGTAATAATTCATTCATTTATTTATGAAAATATATGCTTCCGTTTTTTTCTTTTGCTACATTTCATTTTGGAATTGATTTGTAACTTTATCTTTATGCTAGATAAATAACATTGAAAAAAGAAAATTATTATTCATTATTATGAAAATAATTCAGTAAGAAATGTTTTTGTTTGTGATTGTATATTAAAAATATAGGACATAAGATTACGTTTCAATAAGTATGTTGTTAAGAGGATTATTATTACTTATATGATTATAAATAAGTGCTTTATTGCTTGTTATATAGAGATTTTATTATGTTATATGGCGTATGAGTTTAGCAGTTAGTTGAGATTGAAATAGGATTTTGGTAAATTTGTCATATAGACTGTTGTTCTATATATAGACAATCATCAGTTGACTATATTTATTTTGTTCATTAGAATAAATATTTCGATGATATTTTGTTTCTTCATCTTAAGAACGTAGGAACATTGAATGATTCATTAAAATTTTTTGACAAAAATGTTGTTTTTTTATTTCAAGTATTTATTCAGACAAGTAGAAGGTTAATGTGGGTAGTTTTTGCAAAGAGGGGTGAATAGCACGATTTGTGTGTCTTGTGATCGTAGGCATTAATAATATTGAAAGTTAAACTATTAATTTAAATACCACAATCTATAGAAGATGATGCATAATCATTCCTGATAAATTTTTTGTTAACAGAGTAAATGAACAAAAAAAAATCAGGAAAAAACATTACAGTTTTTATTCATAGTATCTATAATATAACTTTATTTTATGAGCTTTTGTCTAGATCAATTAGTTTCCCTTGTTTTTACACATTCCAAATTCAATTAAATTCTCGTGTCAATTGTGACATACTCATTTAGTTATCAAAGAATGTCATTTACAAATAGAATTGAATTTCTTGCACTCTAAAAACTTTATGTTTACTAACGAAAGGATCATTAAATCGTTTTCGAGTTCAGAATCTGTGCAAAAGGTAGACTTCAATAATGTATGAAAAATTTGAAAAGGATAAATATTTTTATGTCTCATCAATATAACGAAGAACGATATTTCATCGATCGTTAGGTCTATTTGCAACTAAAATACTCCGTAGATTTCCGCTTAAACGACAATTTCTTTCACAAGATATTGAATTTCTAAATTCACTCATGTGCAATGAAAGTTGTAAACATCTCATGTTTTTTTTTTTGGCAATTCAATATCTAGTGAAGAAATCATTTTTTTTTGGAGCTGAATTTTTTAGAACATTATAATTAGAAGTAGATCTATTAATGAACAAAAAATTTTGAGGTCGAAATACTGTTATTCATTTTGTTTGTGAAACATAAATATATTTATTCTTTTCTTACTTCTCTTGAATAAACCTTAGACATAGAATTCGAATTCAAAAATGATTAATTTCTTCATAAGATCAAACATTTTTCAATCATTAAAATTATTCTCTTTCTAAGACAAAACTTCGTGTAAAATATATATTAAAATTAGTATGTACTTTGATTTTTTTGAAAGATCATTTGTATTTTCTGATGTATCTGAATCACTTTTTGAATGAGATCGTTTTCGTTGACCTGTTGATGAATTTTGTTTAGGAGATGAATCATCAAGAGCAACTATATCCGATGATATACTTGTATTATTACTACTTGTCTAAAATGAAGAAATAAACTATTTCAAATAAAAATCAAATGAAAACAAAGAAAACATACTGGTGTATGAATATTTGATGTTGATATTTGTTGTCGTTCAATAATCTGAATACGTGATTGTAATTCTTTGCATAGATTATTACAATCATTTGCTGAAGCCTTGACAAAAAGAAAGAAGAACGAAATGATAAGGCTTCAATATTTATTTAGGACGAGAAAATAAAGGTCTTACTTTAATAATAAATACTCGTAATTGTGATTCATCTTGAGCACCAAATCGTACTGAACGATCAGTAGCTCGTTCAACAGTCATTTTTGGAAATATAGGTGAATTAAGAATAACACGAAATGATTTATCAAGTCTCATAACTAAAAGAAAAAACATAACATTTCGAAAAAAAAAGAAAATGTATTCAGAAGTTTAGATATGGTTTTTATTTGTTTGACTTTGATTTATCTTTCTATGAGTAAATTTGCTTATGTTACGAATAATTTCAAACTTCTTCTATTTGCATCATCAAACAGTCCTTAACTCGATAGTGTTTTTAAATAATATTTGAGTATACTTGTCAAGGAGATCTTCAAGGAAAGTAAATATTTAGTTTTATATTTAAAATTAGTAGATAGGATTGATTTCACATATATCCGTGTATGTTAGTCGTGACCCACATGCTTTATTGTTCTTTGGTATACTTATACATTGTTACATAGAAATCATATATTTGCTTTAGTATCAATTCAATTAAAAAAAAAAAAGAAATAGAAACAACTAAAATGTTAGATTTTAATTAAATTTATTTTGAATCACGCATACATTGTTGACAAAAAAAAGAACAGTGATAGAATTGTTTTTGATAGACCATGATAAAGTCTGTCCTGAATCGGAACTTATTAATTTCAATGGATATGAAATTGCTGTCAATATATCTGATCTGTCTATATTTTACATATTATTATTGTGCTGTTTTCGAGGATTATACACAAGTTTGAAATATAAGATGCTGATTCAGAACTTAGCACTTCATTATTTATTCAGAGATAAATATGTTCAGTTTCTGTTTTCGGGATATACTTATGTGTATATCTTAAATGAAACTGTATAAAAGAAACATTCACGCTCGAAACATTAAAGTTTTCATATTCATTTGCTTTTCATAAAAAATGAGTTTTTGATACAAAAAAATAATAAGTAGAGAATCCTTGTCATTTTTCAAGTACAAGACGTCCGATTGAGCTAAAATGTTTTCTTGCCTACAACAGCTTTAATTGAAAACCATACATTTTTGAGCGCACTCTCTTAGAATTTTGATGACTTTGTTCCAATAGAAGAAGATATCATCAAGATCTATTTTTCTATAAAAGTCTCAGATTTTGATGAAGATCCTATATTCTGAAATCTCAGATAGAGGATTTCATTAAAGTCGAATTCCTATTGTGACGGGATACGGTATATTGATTTTTTAATATTCGTGTACCCGTATCCAATGATTTGATTATAAAGTTCTATACGAAAATTTAGGCTTTAGCTTTTTTTAAACGCTGAATTATACAAGGTATTTTAAAAATCATTCGAGAAAAAAACGTGAATAACTCTAAAACAAAGCAAGCTATACATGTAAACTTTCTCTCATTTTAACCCCACTTGTTGCTCAAAATGTCTACACTAACATGAAGCATTAGATAGAATTTTCATTGTAGCTGTCGCATTTTTCTCACTAACTCTTCTTAATAACTCAATCTGATCTTTAATAGCCACCTTACAAAATCATCTTTCATATGTTATCATAAAAAGAATTCGAGAGATGTCAAGTTCTATCATTTAGAAGTTAAAAGAGCCTAGAAAAATTCAGGTTATAGTTGTAGTCTGTGTGGATCTTCATTTCATCTTCACTCACACCTACAGAGCCATGCCCTGTGTACGTGCATTTCATATGTGTATTTTTATGGTACCTTCAATGAGAGAGTTGGCTTCTGTAAGAATTTCGAATATGGGTGTGGATCTGCATGTAGGAGAAACACTGATATTTGCTTTCACATGCCACACGTATAATAACTATGCCAACATCATACATCCACACTCCTTCACATTAAGAAACGTATAGTTTTGCTCTTGAATATTTTTCATACATTGTTATCTCTTGTGAATGTACTTGAACGCCTCTCACTTTTTTTTGCATGCAATAAAATGTCTTAATCTCATTGAAAGAGAATCTCAAAATAAACTTCTTTAGATCAAATCAATATCATTCTAAATATATTATTTCATGACAGCATGAAGTATACTCTTATTTGCGTATCTGTGATCAGAGTTTTGAATATTATTGAAGAAAAAAAAAACATTTCAAATAACCACAACACTTCCTGCTAATACACTTTCATTAGTAATATGCATTGTAATCACGTTTTTTTTTCTTTTATTACTGTAAGACGCTCAGATGTGACTAATCTGCTCAAGTTATAGTTTCATAAAAACGTTTAGAGATCTCTTTAAAATCACCTTCATGTACTGTTTCTGTATCGAGTTTGACAATCAATAAAAACTATTTCCATTCTAATGTTTAAAGACATTTGATTTGAACTATGTTGAATAAAACTTAAAAGATTGTCGAAGGAAGTCATAGAAAACCTATGCAAATCACTTAAATTGTTCCAAAACTATTGACACTTTTTTTTTATCGCGATGGACTTTTGGAAACACTCTGCATTTGTAAAAAAAAATGGACGAAATGTTGGCTCTAGTTTAATATTCATTTACTTAATCGAGCTTGTAATCGTTCCCAATCTGATGGATCATGACTTTCATTTATTTTTAATATTCCATAACCACGTTCAACAAATTGTTGTTGTTCACTATTATACATAAATAATTTACCAGCCATCTATATAGAATCAATGAAAAACAAAAATGATTCAAAATAAAAAAAAATTTCAAACTTGAAATTTCGTTATTTCATTTTCTTCTCCAGTTGATGTATCACCTTGAATAGTCGCCGTTGGATGTGTTGATGCTCGTTTAGCTTCATATTCAGCAACTGTTTCTAATAAAGATACTTTATTATCTTCTTCTTCTTCTTCTTCATCTTTCTCTTCATCATCATTTGTTTTATCTAACAAAAAAAAAATAAGAGCACACAACTTTATTTTTTAAAAATAAATAATACTTTGTAATGAATTTGTTGATGATGTTTTCAGATCTGTAAAAGAGCTTGGTGTTGTACCACTTGAACCACCAAATAATGGTTTACTAAGAAAAAAGAAAACGAACAAATTTCATATGAAAATTGTCAATAAGTTTGTTTTTTTTTTATACTTGGCACCAAGTGAAGCAAGTGATGTAGCTAATGGTGTTGATGGTGAACCAAAACCACACGTTGTTGTTGATGAAATTTTTGAAAGTGTACTTGTAAAATATGTCGATGAAGAATTATTATCATCAGATTTTTCTCGTGATGTTATCTGACTAAATGTTGATATATTATTAAAACCTAAACCATTTTGTTTAAATTGACCAAATAAGCGAATAGATGTAGATGTATTGACATCACTAATCAAATATCAAAATAAATAAATAATTGAAAATAATAATCAAGAGAAAAAAGAAAAGAAAATTTGTTTTTTTTTTGTTTGTACCTAAATGAACAAGATGAAATATCTGATTTAATTTCTTTTTCTGTTGGATCATCAGATGATAAAGTTGCTTGAGCTATGGCAAAGAAAAAATTATTTTTTAACAATAAATTTATGAAAATAATATAAAACTAACCGTTGTTGTCTGACATTTTAAAATAAGAATAAAACAAAAAAAAAAGACAGATTGACTTAGATGAATATTACAATCATCACCGGGAACAGATCGATCGATTGGTAAAAGAAATAATGATTAAATATATATCTATATATATATATGTTTTAAATTCTTCTTCTTCTATCTATTTATTTTTTATTAATTCAATTGATGAACCAATCACACAGTATTTTATAACCTTCATAGAAAATCTTCTGACATCTATGGACTACTACACGAAGTCTATTGCTAGGTATTATCGTAAACAAAGAATGATTTTATGGTAAAATCAATTTATTAATCTGTTGATTTATAGTAAAATAAATAATAAAAAGTGAATTATGGACAATCATCATTCCCGTAGAAACGATACATTGGATTTATCAGTACATGGTACATCAATTCAACCTGGAACTATATCTTCACATCCATCTAGTACACAAAATGATTCTCAATTAAGACAACCAGGAACTATTTCTTTACGTCCATCAAGTGCACGAAGTGATTCTCAATCAAAACAACCAGGAACTACATCTTCACGTCCATCAAGTGCACGAAATCATTCTCAGTCAAAACAACCACAAACACCTCCAAGAGGAGGTAATTACAAATTAAAATATTATTGTGAAGAACGAAGTTTTTATTTATTTTAGGCAGTGCTAAAGAACGTAGAACAAGTTTGAGTACAAGTTTAAATTTAAGTAGTGCTAGACAAAGGTGAAAATTGTGTTATTCTTTTTTTTCTTCAAAAACAGAAAACAAATTCTTTTTTTTTTGTCAAAACTTTAGACGACTAAGTAATAGTAGTCAACGATCGGCTTTGATTACATCGCCACCTGCTGAAACTAAAAAAGTATGAATTTTGATAGAACTTTATAAGATTTTTAGTTCTATGACAATATGAAATTTTTCTTTTTATTGACTTTTTGCTAACACAATTGGCAACAGTGTGTTTTCTTGGCCTTGAAAGAAAGCATTGTTTCATAATGAATTTATATGAAATTTTCAATTCTTGAATTCAGGTCTTATTTTTTACTATTTGCTATAATATGTATGAGAAAATTTCCATCAAAAAAAAACCTACATCTAGTAATAGTTCTTGATTTCTAAGTGACATGCAATCGAACAGATAGAAATGTCCTTAAAAAAAATATATTTTTTTGTTCATTTCAGTATATTCTATTCAAATTTAACTTTTAACTACAACATATATTTCATTACCTTAATTTTTCGATAGATTAAAATGGTTAATAGAAGGTATAAACTGTTGATTTCAAATCAAAATTTTTATTAGACATATATTTTACGATATATTAGCAAATGTTTGAAAAGCTTGAAGAAAAAAACGTTTCACCGAAGCCCATTGCAACTAATAAATTTATAGACAGAGGATGCGATCGTATCACATTTTTATCGATTTCGTATTTTTGACATAAAGTTGCCGATGTTGTTTAAGTTTCAATTCTTGTCGTTTGACTGCATTACTTTTTGAATGGATTCGTGTTTAGATAACAGATGCTTTTCTCAATGAATCATAATCGCTTTTAAATATGTTTTAATAGCTACTTTTTCTTTGTGCAACATTACGAGCAAGATCATGCTCTACAAAGTGTGTTAGGAACCAATTCTCTCAAAGCGATCTTCCAGAAAACGATGGAACATTTTCTTTGAAAACTTTTCGGTCTGTCCATTATAAATAAAACATTGTCTCTTCTATTGTAATATTTTTTCTACTAGTCCTGATTTCTACTTTAAAAAAACAAACAGAAATAAACATTTATCTACCATCGAACTATTCAGATTAATATTTTCTTGTTTGCAAATCATTTTTACTCTCTCATAATGTAGAATAGCAATCCTTAAAACTGTACATAATTTTTTTAAAAGTAAACATTAAAGAGGTGTTTGTAATATTGTAGTCAATAACTACATCAACATCATCAAGTATTTTTCGTGTATTAAGCCCACATCAACATGATGTTGATGCATTCTTTACTGATCAAAGTCAACAAAAATCTTTTGAACAAAAACCTGATGATGAAGAATGGGATGAAACACGTCGTTGGGTTGATGAAATTCATCATTTAAATTCATCATTTACTGTAGAACAACAACAAAAACAACAACAACAACAAAATCATGGTGTTGGACCTATGGGTATGTCACGTGATAGTCTTAATGGAACTGTTACAGGCACGAATTTTTTTCCATCAAATAACAATCAACATGAACAACTTATGCCAACTTTTGAATCATTACCTACTGGACAAGTCATATCAACAGAAGTTGATTTACAAGCTAAAAATTCTTCAATAACTAATCAACAATGGCATCAACAAACTAATGAAAGAATTGAAGAAAAACAATTACAACAACAAGAATCAAATGATCAAGAAAGATTAATTTCATCCGGATCGACAACACCTACAGAAGATAAACATCACCAACAACAAGAAATAACATCACCGAAAGTAAATTTTTCATTCATTATATAAAATTTATATTTTATTTAAATAGGAAACTCAGAAAGAAAATAATACTAATAATAATAGATTAAATAGTCGTCGATTATCATCAGCTAGTAGTAGTAGTAGTACATCAAGACATCGAATAACACCTATATCATCACCAATTCCATCAGCTTCAAATATTGATCAAGTAAAATAACATTTCTATTTATATGTTGTTTAAGTTTTTTAATTTAATTAGAGAATAAAATACGTCAATTCGATGACATCATCAACATCATCATCAACAACAACGACAACATCAAAAGTAACCTTGAATGATGTTTATGAAACATTAAGAAAATTAGAAGAAGTCGAAAAATTTCCTATACAACGTTCACTAGCAGATGATTTAGGTAATGCATACTGTTATAAAATTATTAAATGAAATACTTATTCCTTCTCTTGCGCTTTGAAAGTAACTCAGTAATAGGACTATTCTTTTCTTTTTCATAGTTCGTAGTAAAAATAAGTAAGATCAGTTGTTTTTACTTGCGATTCAGTCGACACTGAAAATATCGTGCACGTATCTATTTAAAACAGATGAGTAGTAACAATAAGATAGTCGATGCAAATTTTATATGACCATAAAAGGTATCGTTCCCACTGAAAAACTGTTGGACCTGCATTTTACTTTTTTTTAGCTTGTTTTAGTTGAAAAATGGCTCCCAGAGACGCTAACTCGATATCAATATGGAAAGATTTTTTTATAAGAAGAGTAATAAACTACCGATGATTCAATACTGATTCCAAACTTGAAGTTAGTCCTGAATAAGAGTACTTTTATTATCAAAAAAATGTTCTATCTTGAAAAACGAGGGTTTTCTAGAAACCTATAAACCAACCGTAGAACGGTCATATTGATTTGTGCTAGTGCTATATATGTGTTAACGATGAAGAAACATTCGATGAAAGTTTCATACTATTAAAAGTTACGAGAAATTCGGAAAGTTCATTAAACTGAACATATATTTCTTTTAATGAATTCGATGTTGAACAAGAATGATTTTTTTTTTCCAAACCTCAAATGTATAAAAGAGAAAGTATTTTCAAAGAAACAATAAAATGAAATTCTCGTTAATGTTTTCTCCTTATTACTCCTCTTTTAATCATAGAAACAAAGCTTCTAATCCTTAATTTATGGCTTCACTTTCAATTTATTTTCTAGTCTATATCATCGATCCAACTACAGTCATACCATCTCCATTTATTGATGAACTTCCACCAGACACTTCAAATCATGTTGAATCTCTAGTTCGTCCTCTCAATGAAACTAATCAAAATGATCGAACTATTGAAAGTGTTCGATCACAAAAATTTACGAAACATGAAATATCATCACCTATAATGACTCGTTTTACAACACCATCTCAATCAGATCGACGACAACAATCAAAAAAATTTGTACAATCAGTTTCTATACCTCATATTCAAACATCATCATCAATCGATCAACAAACACGATATGGAACAAAAGTAAAACTTAATTTAAAACAAAAACAAAACAAAAACATGTTTTTTTTTAGATAACAACACCATATAAATCATTAACAATTGCGCCTTATCGAACAAGTCTTCCAGAAGATGAATTTAAAAATAGTAATAAAACAATTCATGATGATAAAGATACAAGAGTTTCATCAAGAATGGACTATGAAGAAAAACAACGACAATCAATTATTAATCAACAACATGAATCAACTCTTCATCGTAGTAAAGATTTTGAACAGGAGTTTGATTATCAATTACAAAAACAAAAAGATGAATATGAATCTATTATACAACGTCATTTAAAATTTATTGATCAGGTTTATTAATAAAAAAATATATTATTTTTCTTTCATTATATTTTATAAGAAATTACGTTTTATAATAAGTTTTTCTAACAAATTTTAACCTATTCAAAAAGAAACTTTTCGTTTATTCATTAGTCAATGTAAATCAAAGTTAAAAAAGAAAATCTAATACAAACAATTGAAATAGTTTTCAAATTCATTCTATAACATAATTAACTTTTTTTTTTTCTCTGTTAGTTAATTGATGATAAGAAAAAAATATCTCATCGTTGTGAACTTTTATTATCTGAATTAAAAACAATCGATAGAAAATATAATGATCGAATGCGATCTGTTGAAGAAACTCATCGTAATGAATTACAAAAATTAAAAGATGTACATGAAGCAGCTGAAAAATTACGACGTGAACATTGGATTGAAGAAAAAACAAAAAAAATAAAAGAATTAACTGTACGTGGTTTAGAACCTGAAATTCAAAAATTAATTAGTAAACATAAAAATGAATTAACAAAAATGAAAACTGTACATGAAGCTGAATTATTAGCATCTGATGAACGTGCTGCACAACGTTATATTCGTATGACAGAAGAATTACGTGATCAATTAGAACGTGAAAAAGAAGTTTCTATTGCTCGTGAACGTGAATTAGCTCGAGAAAAATATGAAAAATCATTATATGATGAAGAAAAAACATTTAATGAACAAAGACGTCGACTCTATACGGATATTGAAGAAGAAAAAAATCGACAAGCTGAATTCATAGATAAACAACGTGCTGATCTTGATAAGTATAAATTTTAAATTTTATTTTTCTAGTTTAATGATTTTTTGTTATTGTAAAGACTTCGACGTGATATAGAAGAAAATCATCGAACAGTTGTTGATTCAACTAAACGTGAATATGAAACTATACGTTTAGAACAAGAACATCGACATAATAATGAAATTCAAGAATTAAAAGATAAATTAGCATTAGAAAAACAAAATTGGGAAGAAAGTATTATGAAAAAACAAGAAACTATATTAGCTAATAAAGAACGTGAATTACGAGAACAAATGAAACAAGAACGTGATAAAGAAATTGAAAAAATTATTGCACAATTGGAATCCGATACAACAATAAGTAAAGAAGAAGCAGAACGTTCAGCAGAAAATCGTGTGAAGTAAAATTCTTTAATATGTTAATATAATATAATAGTTTCAATGAATTTATATATATATATATTAGACGTATTCGAGATAAATATGAAGCAGAATTTCATGAATTAGAAAATTCTGAAAAACAAACAAGAGAAAAATTTAATCAAATTAAAGCTCAAATAACTGAAGTTCAAGGTTAACAACTATCAATTAAATTATTTATAAATAATTTAATTCTTCTTTTTTTTTCTTCTCAATTTCTAGGTGATAATGAACGATTACAAGTATTACTTAAACAAAAAGAAACAGAAATCAATGATATCAAAAAGGTATTATGAAAAATTTTGTTCAATATAAGTGAGAATACAACAGTGAAACATTCATGAAGTATATTTGTGATATCTCTCTTGAAGAAAGTTTTATTTGATAAAAGAAATAAGTCGGTCTTGTCCATAGCGTTCCTTCATCGAACTACATTCTATTTATAGAAGACTCAAGAAACATTTCTCTTGTTTTTTGACAATCTTCTTTAATTGAATGAAGAGAGTCGAAACATTTTATTTGGTTTACAATTATTTGCTCCATCAAAAATAAAAAACTATTTCCAATCAACTTAAAATTAATGTCAAAGAATTAATTATTGAGGTTTCAGATATCATTATCCAAGCAGTTTTATTAGAATTTTTAGGTGCATTAATACTAATAGAAAATACGTTTAGTTACTCAGATATTTTTTTAAATTATTCTTAGTTATTACTATCAAGAGAAAAATTCAAAAATACGACTGCTCTATATTATAATTCTTTACTCTATTATTTGAAAAATTGAAAATCTTATGAAATACATTGAATACTATATGCACTGACATATTTACATACATCAAATGTTTGAAAATATGATGGAATTTCTATTCGAATGATCTTATAAAAGTCTTAAAATGTTGTTCTCATCAAGTGGAAAAAATGCGATTCCATTATTTCCAAGTAGGAGTGAAGTACAATACTTAACGCACTTAATAACACTTTACTCGTACTTGGAAGTACTGAAGCCACGTATTTCCTCTTATGTTCTTATCTAAGATTCATATGACCTTTTTTATTACAGTTACAGGAAAAACGCATTTTATCATCGTTAGGTTTCTTGTCATTATGACATTGATGATCAATATCATATTGTAGGAATGTGGCCATGAGAAAATACATCGTTCTACTCCTACGGTTTTTTTCTTTGTCGTATTTCTATAATATTCACCAGAAAATTATTTATTGATACTTCAAAATAGATGATCAACAAAATGAATCTATCGTTCGAACTTGTTGAACTTTTCTTTTCTTTTTCGATATTTAATATAATTCGTTTATTAGATCACTGATACATTGCAACAAGAACGTGATCGTCTATCAGAAATAATTCGACAAGAATTTGCAGATCGTCTTGTATTAACAGAAGAAGAAAATCGTCGAATAAAAGGTGAAATAGCAGAATTACGTGCTCGACAACAATTAGAATTAGAAAAGAAAAAAGAAGAAATTGAATTATTACAACAACAACAAGAAAAAGAATTAGAAACAATACATGAAAAGTAATCTTATTCTATTTATGACATAGATTAATTTTTATTTTTGTTTTTATTTAAGAATTAAACAAGCCATTGCAAAAAAAGATGAACAAGTACATGGATTACATATTCAATATGAAACTGTAGTTAAACGAGCTGAACATCTTGAAGGTTTATTAGCACAACAACGAAAATTAGTTGCAGCAGTACCGTCAAGTGGTATTAATGTATTGAAAAAAGTACATCCGTCATGATGAACTTTGCATAGTTAACTGTTTGCCAGATAAATTAGAACAGTGTTTTTTGTTTTGTTTTGTTTTGTATTTTGATAAACTAATAACAGGAAATAAAATGAGTTTTTATTAATACCGAAATAAACAATCTTAATTAAGAAATATGAAAATACATTATTTGTTCGGAATGGATTTGACAATGTGTGTTACATAGATGTGCTTTTGTCTTTTCATTGGGTGCTTATGAATAGTGTATATGAAAGTTCATCTGTTGCAAGTTGATGGCTGTTGTAAACGAGAGTCAGACAATTGTGCGTGGAAAATTCCTCGTTAGAGAAGGAGTAGAGGGATCATAGTCACGTAAACGAGTTTAGAAGTTTATTAGAGACTTATTTGGTTATCTTTGGACATTTTCTGTTGAGAAAAATCAGATAGAAACATTTTCAAAAGAAAGGACGATCGCCTTCGTCTCATAAATTTCGCCATTGGAATACTTACTGATTTACAGAAATGAAAAAAATTGAATAACTTCTAATCTTAAACTGAATTCTGCTACTTGATTAATGAAATTTGCAAATAGTCACTTGCGTCATTCTGTAGTAAACATTAAAAAAATACTCCATTACTTAAACAAAATGGCTTTTCATATATTATCGATTGAAGAAATATTTTGAGAGTAGATTCATTTAGGACGAAGAATATGATTGAAATACGAAACAGCATATCCGTCAATTTACGATTGTTCAAGATTGCCGGTATTTGAGCTTTTAGTATTCTATGATAATTAAAATATCTCTTTATCGAATATCTCCTTTAAACTCTATTTAAATCCATCAAACTTGAATGATATCAAGAAACATAACAGCGTGGTAACGCGTTACGGAATTTCATTTTTTCACATTGCAACACCTGTAACATCTCAATAATAAAAGCAAACTTTCTAAAATCTTTTTATCATAGATAAAGATCGCTGAGATCTATTACCAGTAAAAATGTCATCGATTTCTGTCTAGTAGCCATAGCCGAGTTATTCAACAAATGTTAGCCGTTACAGAATTTCAAAAAATAGAAATTTTTTTTAGGGTGACTTGAGAGTTAAACATTTTACTACGTAATGAAGTGACATACAAATCAACGCTCTATATAAAAACTGTTCAGTATTCCATGAGCTTTCAGAATCAGGCTTGCCGATTAGGGGGGGGATTTCCCCTCCCTAAAATGCAAGGCTGTCTGCCAAAATTTTTAACACTTTCTGCGAAAAAAATTTAATATTGTCTGGGAAATTTTCACTATTTTTGAAGGAATTGAAGCATTTTCTGCCAAAATTTTATCCCCCCCACTCCTGAAAACAATCGACAACCCTGTTCAGAATATTGATTCATTTATTAGAAAGCATATAAATATATCAAATAAAAAACCATAAATACTGTCCGTTACGGAATTTCATCTTTTTTTTTCTGACGTTCTAATGAGGACGGTTTGGAATCTTAAAGTTTCAATTATCACGATGAAAACCCATCTCTCCTCATATTCAAGAGTAGTACAAAGACAGTTCTATCGTTCAAGTATCTCAGTTTCACCCTCACAACAGAATGACATTAAAATAGTCGTCTATTTTTCGGACAAAAAATGAAATATAACAGGATCAAAAAATCTCTTTTTAGACTCTTGTCGAAGAAAAAATACGGTTTATATCCCTAACCAACAAAATATTTCAGAGCTTGCAACATGTTTCATAATTTATCGATAGTAAACTTTTGATTTTGGAGAGAGTTTTCTTTATTTTTGTGAGTTTAAACCTTCCCCATGCGAGTGTGTTCGATGCATGGCCATGCTGATAAGGTACTTTATACTAATGATTAATTCAACTCTTAATAATAATAGATAAATAAATAAATTTTTCAAATCATCAACAAATATTTTGCAAACTTTAGAAAAAAATTCTAAAAATCAACCAAATGTATACCAAAGAAAATGATTTCGATAATGAAATAACATGACAACACTCATGTTTCAGTAACGATATATAACATCCTTTATTTTTGTCTTATTTCCGTTCTAGCTGTCAAGAAAAGCGTAAAAGAAATTCTGCAATAATCTTTTTCGATATCATCATAAAATATCGTTATTAAATTGTAATTATTCAATCAATGATCATTGAACAGATGGAGTTGGTATACATACCTCCATTACAATTTACCTATTTTTTTGATACTCAGATGAATGCAAGCGAGTCCATTAGATGACAAGAAAGATATTTATGGTGGAAGGAAATAGACAAAGCAATTATATTAAGAATAGATTCGTTTTTGTTTTTTATTGAAGATTAATGAAAGATTCATTATCATCATCGTCTATTTCCATGTTACGAGATGATACAAATTATACACAAGAACAAAAAACACCTAATTATAGATTAATATCAAATCCATTTGATCCACCAACATCAGTTCATCTTAAACAAAGACTTGCTAGTTTTAGTATTTTTAATGATGTTAGTTTATTTAATTTTTATTTTTACAAATTATACAAAAAAAAATTTTTTTTTTTTTTCTAGCAACAAGAAAATAAATCTGTTGTTGATGTTCTATCAATTGAACGTCGTGCTCAAATAAATCCACATCCATTAAGTGAACATATTGTTCAAATTGATACATCTGTCTTGTATGTATTTGTTATATTTTTACTTAATTAGTATTTTACTTTTTTCTCATATTCAAAAAAAAAAACAATATATATATATATACATAGTAATCAAGAAATGCGTGATCGATATCAACGAGCATCTGATCATTTTTGTCAAACACAACTTGATTTACCTACACCTATAACAACAAATGAAATACCAAAAACGAAAAATCAATCATGGTCAAATAGTTCATCAACAAGTTCAAATTCTTTACTTGATCAAACTCGAACTACGAGACATAGTATAAAACAAAAAAAGAAACGTCATAATTTAAATTAATTATGGTTTTTTTTTTTTCTATTTATAGTGGGTTGTCAAACACGTCTTTCTTTACCACCAGCAGCTGATCTTGATTCATTAATACAAAGTTTTGCTTCGAATAGTGATCAAGATGATCCACCTATTGCTATATCAAATTCATCATTAAATATTTCTCAAATACGACGAAAATTATTTTCTGATGATGATGATTTACTTGATGAAACACCACCAATAATACCACCTCGACGTTCATCTTCATTCGATGTAAATAATATTTTAGTTTAATATTAATTCATATGTTTATTGTTCTTTTTTTTTTTGTTATATAGCCTGCACAACGTTCATCAAGTCCGAGTCAACAACAAAATCGAGAAGATCATCTATATCGACATAAAAAACCATTAACACCTGATTGTTCTCCAATACCATTGAAAACTTCAACTAATTCGACGAAAAATTCTCGACAAGAATTTCTTGCATTTACTCCGGAATCAGGTTTGAGAACAAAACAAAAAAGACTTGATTAGGATAAGCAAAGAGATAACAGTTAAAATGAAAAGTTAATTTAGATCTCGTATGCAATGAATATCAATAGCATTCAATAAGTTGAAAAATCAAACTGCCAGAATCCTAGTTTTTCAATCTCGAGAGTAATATGTTAATATAGTTATTCAACAGTATCTTTTGATAAGATAGTCGAAAAAAAAAAAACAAATATTTATCTAGATATTTAAACTTTATTATATTTAGAAGCTGTTGTAATGACTTCTGCATCTCGTCCAACACGTTATATATCACATCTTTCATCATCCGCTACAAATATGTCTATTGGTTCACCTTTTATACATCCACCTCAAATGCCTAGTAAGAAAAATACTTAACTGTTTTATATAACAAAAACAAAAAAATTATAATAATTTAATTTCTAGGTGATTATGCTCGACAAGTACTTGATAATGCACTTGCTGATCTAATGGAATGCTCAATGTGAATTTATGTATTGTGTATATGTCTAGACTTGAATTAATCGAATTCTAGTCATTTATTGTTTTTTTGTTTTTCAATATGCCTTAGAAAATATACTTATAATTGTCCGATTTATTCGAATAGAATCATATAATATGAAAATTTTATCAGAAAAAATTTCAAGATTATAAAAGATATTGAGATAATCAAATTTAAATATAGTGGTTTCGACAACATTGAATTTGATACTATATATAGAGCAAACGTACGAAATCTAATCTATGTGCCATCAATATGTATTTGAGAAAAATTATTCAGCTATAGTAAAAGTTTTTCTTGTAGCAATACGAATATAAACTTTGTACATAACTTCTTTGATTTATTTATTAACAAAAAATATCGAAACAACTTTTTTTTTTTTTATTGAACTATACTACGAATTATATTTTGAAATGAAAACTACTTCTATAAATTGATATTTTAGATGAATTTTTTTGTGAGGTCATTCTGTTAATCTGTGCGATTTATGTATGTATATGTTTCATTGAATGTAAATTAGAATCATCGATTTTAGGGCATTAGTAAAATACACTCTAAACAAATATATCAAAATGAAAAAAAAGAAATAGGTAACCCAAGTTGAGGAAACAATTTTTGTAACCTTCAAAAAATATTTCTGATCAAAATGCTTTAATATATTTTTGTATTAGACATTTCGTTCTTACTAAGAAAACACAAGATCGATGCAAAACGTTTGCTCGGTCCGTTATATCAATTTCGTTGATTATTTGCTTTTACAAATATTGATTTATATTATTGAAATTTTTCTTTTATTTTGATTCTAAAAGAAAGATTTACTTAATTAAAATCAATGTAAAATCTAAATTTATGTATCATCAAAAGAAAAAAAAACATGAAAACTAATGATGTTATGTTTGACAAAGAAGAAAAATTGATCGTTCATGAACATTCATTTAATTAATACAAGAATATAATCAATAGATAAGATAGTTATTAATCAGATGAACAAAAACAATGTACATGTCGATTTGAAGAATTTGTTCCATGTGCTATTGTACCCCAATCGACTAATTTAAGTAAACAT